TCATTTCATTAGGAGTTGCAAGACCACAATACTACTCTAATTTTTATCATTTCTTTTGTATTTTTTAGCTGGAGCATACTTATTTAGAAAAACAAACTTTGGGGCTCGGCGCCTATAGCTCAACCGGCTAAGGCGCCAGCCACGTACACCTAAGGTGGCGGGTTCGAATCCCCAGCCCGGACCCGCCAAACAACAATGATGGCTGCAACCAAAAAATAGCCGGGCGTTGTGGTGGGCGCCTGTGGTCCCAGCTACTTGGGAGGCTGAGGCAGGAGACTCGCTTGAGCCCAGGAGTTGGAGGTTGCTGTGAGCTGTAATGCCACGGCACTCTGCCCAGGGGGACAGCTTGAGGCTCTGTCTCAAAAAAAAAAAAAAGAAAAACAAACTTTGTTTCATTAACTGCTTGGTTTCTCTGAGGTACAAATGTAGATAGAAAAATAAGCATAGTTGCTTCCTTCCCTTTATTTGCCAGGTTTCAAAGTATTGAGTTGGCTGTCTCAGCTCAAATTTCATCCCCACCATAGCTCTGGTTATATTGACTTTACAGGTCAGGTCAAGAGACTCGCTCAAGGTCACGTGGCAAGAGTGAGCTGGGATGCCAGGTTAAGTCTGATTGTCCTAAAGCCAGTGATCATTCCACAAAGGCCATGGTGTCTTCTCTCACTTCTTGTGCCTGGACAACTGTGAGTTATGGAAGCACTTGAGTAGCTATAAAGGTAGGGTTCAAGGTTTTAACTGGTACCATCGGTAGCTTCCTTGAGGCTGTGTGTATCTTGACTTCCCAAACAGGGAGCTCCCATGGGCATAGCCACCCTGGACATCTTCATCAGCCTCTGCATCCCAGCACAGGAATGAACTATAGGACTGCCCTCTGCTTTCTTGTCAGATTGTCCCTGGGGGACCCTTCAGCCTCTTAGCAGGTATAACTACACCCTCATGACTGCAAGTTGCCATTTCCAGCCCTGATCAATTTTGAGTACTGGTTTTGAATGCCTACTCAGGGCCTTGCTACTAGGCCAGCCTTCTACCAGCTCCCCAGACTACTTGGCAAAAACCATGCCATGCCCTACTGCCCAAATCCATCTTTCCTCTCCTAGGCACACCATCTCAGTTCCTGGCATCATTGTTCCTCAGATTTCCCAGTGAGAAACTCAGCCAACTTAGGCCCCCCCACTCACACCTACCACTTCCATGTCTCTGGCCAAAGCAGATGCTGAGGTGAAACCCTGGATGCAGGATGTTATTAAGAATCCGCTTCTGTGAAGGGAAGAGGGATTGGTTGAGGGAGAAATTGAACTGTGATGCAGGCGTTACCGCTGCACCCACCAACAGGCAGGGAGCACTGGAGTGAGTGGGGCTCCCCTAGAACATTCTCAGGGAGGGCCAAAATGGCTGGGCCTTTGTGCCCCACCCCCTTGCTCTGTTCCCAGATGCAGGCTCCCCTGGGGAGGGCCACCTGCTGGTGAGGCAGCTCTGCAGACACAAACCCTGAAAGGCTGACAACTGGAGGCTGTCCACTGCATTCCTGCAGCTGCCCTGCAAGAAGAGGATCTGAGCAGCACACACTATGTCACCTGATTCTCAGAGATGTGGCAACTTTCTTCCAAACTTGACCCTTCCTAGCCACAGGCCTCAATGTCTCCTGCCCAGTTACTGCAGTGGCTCCTTACTGGCTCCACCAGCCACCTCCACCCTAGCCCATTCAGCCGCTGTGTTGTCCACATGCACGGGTGATCTTGTCACTTGCCAGTTCTGAACACTTAGGAGCCTCTACTGTGGAAATGAGACCACAGTCTCAGAAAGTCTTAAATAAGGCTTTTACCACTTAAGATCTGTGCATAGGAAGAAATGAGGGGAGTAACCTCTAGACCAGCGGTTCTCAACTCATCAGTTGCCACCCACAGGAACTGTATTAAAGGGCTGTGACATTAGGAAAGTTGAAAATCACAGCTCTAGACAGAGGAACAGTGAGTCCTTCATCCCAGTTTTTGTTTTTTGTTTTTTGTTTTTTTTTTGAGAGAGTCTTGCTCTGTCACATAAGGAAGAGTGCTGTGGCATCATAGCTCATAGAAAGCTCAAACTCTTGGAGGCTAGTT